CATTCGATAAAATTTAGAATTTGATCAAACTTTATATACATAAAGAAGAGGTCAAAAAAAATGGTTACTGAAAGTTTCAAGTTGATCCGATCAGCGGTTCTTTGACTATTCGAGTTTAAAGATGCGATTATTTGTCTCCGCGATAGTACGATGATGACGTCACTGCATGCGATCTCTCCGCTGTCCGCTTCGCATTCACTTAACTTGCATTGCATTCGCGATCGTTTCGTCTTTTTAACGACTATGTTTAATTGATTATACCGTGTTGGAAAATTTTTCGCGCATAATAGGGAAATCAATGTTAAATTCTTAGCCGGCTGAAATCCAATCTACCAGTGTACATTTCAATAGAACGTCGCGATCAATTCTAATAAATTTAATTGTTCTACTGGACTTCACACCGCGATTTGGCTTGGTTAGATTAAAAATCAAATAATTTCGACGGTTTCAACACTTCGACAGTATCAAAACGGGTTCGGATGGGTGAACGTCGAGTCGATTACAAAGAATTGAGAATTTTTAAACGATAATTTATTGAAAAAATATCACTAATAATAAAATAGAATTATGTAGATATGTCTTTTTGCCACAATGGCTTGAAAAAGAAAGTAAATTCTAAGAAAATAATAAAAAAAATACTCCAAAAATAAACTTAAAGATTATTTTAAAACAGAAAATAAAAGAACTCTAAAAAATAGTCCACCGCTTTCTGCTAAACAATAGCCAAACCTGTCATACAGATGTCATCTCATATTACTGAGCTGAGGTGTAATTTTAAGAAAATTGAATTATTTTTTCCTTATTTTTCCTTATTTTAACAAGATTTGTTGCTATTTCAAAACTGTACCTACCGATACACACATTTTTTTGAAATATCCCCAAAAAACATATTAATTGTAGTTTCTAAATAATTTTGTACCTCATACCTAACACAAATAACTTTGTACCTCGCTCTATTCGATGAAATTAAGTGCACATTGGCAACGATGTACAGATTTTGACGCTGTCAGCTGAGAAATCTCACGAAATTGGCGCATGCGCAGAAATATGGCAACTAAAATCAAACTTTACCAAAAATTGAATTCCTTCTTTTAGTCTTTGGATAGTTCAGAAGTGTCTTCCAATTATAGTTAAAGTGAATTAAAATAATCATTTATTTCGGTATATAAAAGACAATGGGCTCGTTCGACACTTTTTTTTATTTGCTTTTTGGAAAGACCACACAATTTTAAGTCACTATGCAAAAAATCAGAATTAAATTCCATGTAGAAGTCACTTAAAAAGGCCTTAAAAACCGTCGCGCTGAGCGTTCGCTCGAATTGACTGTGACGTCACTGCATGCGTTGCAAGAACAAATTTGTAATATAGGCTTAGGGAGTTTTAAATAATGACGGACAATAAATAAAAAAATAGTTATAAATATTGCATTGTTCCCAAATGTCGAAGCACTAGTTTTAAGACGCCTAATAAAATATTTATTAGTCTTCCGCGCGATTTAAGAAAAAACAAATTGTGACAAAAATCAATGAAAAGAAGTATGCTGGTTAGTACTAAGTCAACACATTTTGTCATATTTGTCGCATTTTGTAACACACTAATTATAATAATTAGTTTGCTCAGTAAAAATATTTAATTTTTTTAGTTTGAAAACGATATGGAAAATTACATGTACATATTTTAAAACAATGGCTAATTCCCAATAAAAATGAAGCAAGATGTTGTACCTAATATCTTCGACTGCTAAAAAGTTCAAAGCGTTAAACTCACTGTAAGCAAGAACAATATTTTTAAAAAGACAGCGGTAAACTACTATCGAGGATTTATCAACCTAGTTGTTCTAAAAGTACTCGGAATGAACAGAACCATGATATGGATGATGTGAATTTGACAATGGATAAAAATTTAAACAACACTATTACAAACAGGGCCTGTCATAAACAAATTCAAGTTTATATAAACATATAAAACTCAGTGTGATTTGACCCGTTCGGGACAGTTATAGTGCGGGACTATACATTGCGTTTTGACGGGAGCGGTTAAACGGGACCCGTTCAGCCGCATTTTATTTCATCGGTATATACATCCATCGTCTATCCCGCTAAAAAGGATGCGGCTCAGTCAATTCTTTGTAGAATTCGGATATGAAGTAGATGGTTTGATGAAAATTTAATCAAATATTAAAATTGTTAGCGCCCTTGAAGCTACTGGCTTACTTAAAAACAGAAAGAAAATACAACATTCATCTTTTTCATGCTTTTCATGTTCTTCGACGTACTGAATGAATTTATTAGTGTCGAATATGACTGATACAATAAATATCCAACAAAATATACAACAAATCCAAAATACTATAATCAAATAACCAAATTTTCTGTATAATGATCCCGTTCGACCGCACTGTGTATAGACGCTACAATTGAAATGAATGTGTTCTTGTCGATATGCGTTTTTAAAAGGGAACCGCTAAACCGCAGCAAGACGCGGTTGAATCCGGTTGCCGTAAACGCACCGCACATGTATAGACGATCTAATTTAAAACAATATGTTCTATCTATCCCGCGAAACCGGTCCGGCTAAAACGCTCCTGTCGAAACGCAATGTATAGTCCCGCACTAAGTGAATGCGAAGCGGACAGCGAAGAGATCGCATGCAGTGACGTCATCATCGTATTATCGCGGAGCCAAATAATCGCATTTTTAAACTCGAATAATTAAAGAACCGCTGATCGGATCAACTTGAAACTTTCAGTATTAATTTTTTTTAATCTCTTCTTTATGTATGTAAAGTTTGAACAAATTCTAAATTTTATCGAATGAGCCCATTAACGATCATTAACTACCCGAAATATTTGGTAATTTTTAATTTTCTACTATTATTTAGCAAAAAAAGTTCTAAGATGTCATTGGTAATTAGATTAAAATGAAATTATAATATCAAAAACTGGACATTTTGAATAAAACTGAAAATATCTCAGAAATGGGGACAGTTAGGTATAGGGAAATGTTATGAAAAAAGATTCAGTAAGAAATAGACTTCCCATTGGATATTATTAATATAGGGTGTTCCATTTAAATTAAGCGAGTAATTATTATGTTTGCGTTTTGACTCACCCTGTATACAAATTGCAATTTTGTTAGAATGTAACTATTTTTTGTGAAAATAGACCATTTTTAAAAAGTGCTGACACAGAAAAATTCACATTATCTGATACAGATTCTGATATACAGGGCCTTGAAATCATGTCGATTTGAACATAAAAATGGCCATAACTTTTTAAATACTCAGTATAGGCATATGAAATCTTATATTGAGAAACTCGTGAATACGAGCTGAAATCGAATATAAAATAAAAAATATATCATTGCCTTTAAAAAAAGGTATGTTTGGTATGGCTTCGATTTATGGGCCACCCTGTATATTTAGAAATAATTTTAAATTGTGCGCCTAAAGGTGCTTAACATTTTTCCTATTTACTATTTTTTCGTATCTATTATAATCACTGAGTAAATGGGCTTTACCGCACTATTGGGACACCCTGTATGTAGTTAATACAAAAAGAGTTAGGTTAAGGTAAATATTTCAAAAACAACTATTTTTAATTAATTTTTTCTACCCTCCACTAGCCACACCTACCACACCTACTATTGGGACACCCTGTATATCATGTAACTATTTTATTATATTATATTAATTATATTTTGAATAAAATTTTAATTTTATTTTATCAATATTTCCATTTGCACAATCTGGCAACGATGTACAGATTTTGACGCTGTTAGCCGAGAAATCTCACGAAATTGGCGCATGCGCAGAAATATGGACACTAAAATCAAACTTTACCCAATTTTTTTATAATATTTTCGTTAGTAAATTCTCTCATAAAAAATGGCGACTCGGTAGGTAATTAAAAAAAAAAAACAAATATCGAGTCACGTACAGTTTTGCTTATAATGCAAACTAAACAGGAAGATGTATTTTTGCTTAATAAACTATTTCTTTATTTTCAACAATAAGTATACAGGGTGTGTCACGACGAGCTTAAACTATCTGTATATTGGAAACTACTTATTCGATTTTAATAAAATTTGGTATACATATGTTATGCAATAAGACGAACCTCTTAAAAATATTTTTACAGTGGTACCATTTCCCGTTGTTCCGGACGTAGCCATCAACTTTGTTATTTCAAATAGAACACCTTGTATATTAATATATTTTCAAAATCTACGTAAAAAAATTTCAGGATACTTTTGTCTAAAACACTTTTTCCAAAAATGCATACTTTTTGAGTTAAAAATTTTTTTTGAAAAGTTTGACCGATGCAGGCCTTTATAAATTATTTTTTTACGGGGATCCCCTTAAAGATATGAAAACGATTTCTGTAGGTGGGCTACTAGCCAGGTAAAAGGAATTTGGACATGTGTTGAAAAACTTTTTATTTTATACAGGGTGTGTATAAAAATTGTACAAAGTTGAACATCAAAAATATCAAATTTCTTCATTTTTTTAAATGGAACAACCCATTTTTTTCTATTTTAATAAATTCTCAATAAATTGAATTATTTACTTGCTCTTCCAAACATAAATTATTATAGACTCGTAATACAGGGTGTCCCAATGAAAAATAGCCCCTTTAAATACAAAATACAAAAATGAAAGAGCTATTAATTTGTAAACGCCTAATCATAAGAGCTCATTATAGGGGCTACTTTTTATTGGAACACCCTGTACTTGTAAAATCTTTTCGTTTGTTTAATGAAGATACCTAGGTATATTTAAGTTTAAATAAATACTGGTACTTCCCTAATTTTGTGTAAATTGAATTACCCACATGCTATTCTATAAATAATAATAATAACATTTTTTTTCTCTAGCTTAATGTAGGATAAATTTTCAAAATCTTGCTGTTGTACTTTTGTATAAAAGAAAATTGGGTAGACCGCTCCCTCATTTTTTTACTCTTATTACATCTATTCTTTATATTTTATAGGATTTTTATTATGCCTGTTCAGATAAGTTTCGGAATACTTACTGGTAAGTAGGCAACTCATTTTACATTTCTTTGATTCAAATTGACTCTCCATTACAGTCAGCGACAGTTATGCGGATAAGGGCAATGATTTATCAAGTCCTAAATTAATAGAAGAAATATTAAAGGAGTTTCCATCGGCCGAAATAAGCGCAATAAAAATCGTACCAGTGGATATGCAGGAAATTAAATCGACTCTAACAGAATGGTTCGACTTGAAAATCAACGTAATATTCACAACAGGCAATCTACCAGACATGATCTTCGCTATGATCACCAGTAGCTTGAAGATCATTCCAATTGCGATGCTCTCCAGACCCTTGAGCGGTATTAGAGACAACACGATGATAGTAAATCTGCCGGGAAGCCCTGAAATGGTTTCGGAATGCTTCGGTATCATCAAGGAAGCCTTACCCCGCGCTTTGGAGCTCCTAACAGAACAAAAAAAATCAGTGGTTTCTGGTCACGAAGCCATTCTGAGCGACTCAGGAGCATCCGTTGTCCCAACCACCAGCTCCAGTAAGGTAATTTACTTAGATATCAGCAAAGGTACTGTTTTGTTCTTTGTAAGAATCAAAGCCGGTCCTGTCCCCCGACCGTGTTCCTGCGTCGAACTCCGAGTCGAAAACCGAACGCTCGGGTTCGGGGGGTTCGGAATCGGCCGAGGTTCCCGTCGTTGTTCTTGTCATGATTTTGGACGAACCACCATTTTTTTTAATTATTGTTTCGTCTCTTAAATTGTATATCGAAGATTAGGCTTCACCTATAGAATTTTCAATTTTATTAAAGTTTGTTTGAACTATGGTTCTTCGTATTTTTTGATGTTTGGTGACAACCATGCAGGTACTATTGAGCGGTATTAGAGACAACACGATGATAGTAAATCTGCCGGGAAGCCCCGAAATGGTTTCGGAATGCTTAGGTATCATCAAGGAAGCTTTACCCCGCGCTTTGGAGCTCCTAACAGAACAAAAAAAATCTGTGGTTTCTGGTCACGGCGCCATTCTGAGCGACTCAGGAGCATCCGTTGTCCCAACCACCAGCTCCAGTAAGGTAATTTACTTCGATATCAGCGAAGGTACTATTACTCAATTTGAATTTGTCTTTATTTTCGTAGGTGAAACTGGCTCCATTAAGAAAATACCGCTACCCTATTATCGATGTTGAATTTGCTTCTGATTGTATTAAGGATGTTTGTTCTGATAAAGAGGTAACCACAGAAACGGTGCCTTTGGAGAGATCGCTTAATCGAATTGTAGCAGAAGATATTCATGCTGAAGAATCGATTCCTTCATTTCCAACTTCGTTTATAGATGGTTACGCAGTTAAATCGAGCAATGGCAAAGGAATACGTGTTGTGAAGAATGTCGCAACTGCAGGAGATAAGGTATGTAGATACATTTACAAGATTTCTAAAGAAAGAACTCATTAGAATTGTAATAAATGAAGCAGCCAATCGATGAAGTTCTGCAGTCAGGCGAAGCGATAAGAATATCGATGGGAGAACCAATTCCTGCGGGAGCAGACGCAGTGGTACCATTGGAAGATACTTCAGTTGTTGAATATTCGATTGATGGTTCTGAAGTAATTAAGGTGAAAATCAAAAGAGCACCCAACTATAATGAAAACATAAGGTAAGGGAAAATTTTTAAATACAATTGTGGCATATTTAGTAATTTTTTTAGAATAATCGGAAGCGACGTATCGAAGAATTCTTTGGTTTTAAAAAAAGGCGAACGTATCAAACATTTCTCTCTTGGAGTTTTAGCCATGTTAGGAAAAACAAATATTTTGGTTTATAAGTAAGTTCATAAGTTCTTATAAGTATAAGTAAATATTCAGTTTCCTAAAAGTTCCCTCCTTTACTGTAATACATTTTTTTCTAGACGCCCTTCTATAGGAGTCATATCAATTGGCAATTATATTTGTGAACCTAAAGAAAAACTAGCCCCTGGCAAAATCAGAGATGCAAATAGATTCACCTTAATTAATTTGCTTAAAAATTACCGTTATAAATCAAACGATTGTGGTATAGCTAAAGACAAGTAATAATTAATCCTGATGTATTTGATACTTTTTTAATACAATAATTTTTAGTCCTGATGCAATAAAGCAAGCTCTTGAACAAAGTTTTACTTGTAACGATGTTATTATTATAAGCAGTGCAATGGGAGAATTGGACATGTTGAAACGGGTCCTCGTTGAGGATTTTCAAGCTACTATACATTTTTGCAGGATAAAGATGAAACCCGGGTAAGTCAAAGTTTCGTAACTTGAAAGATTTCAATGATTAAATAATTATCATTTTGTTATAGAAAATACACGACCTTTGCGACACTTATGTATAATGAAACATGGAAAATGGTGTTTGGCCTAACGGGTTATCCATCTTCCTGTGCAATAATTTGTATATTATTCGTTATTCCTGCTCTACGCTTCATGGAAAAATCTCCCTACGACGGTTTTGTACCTATTTCTGTGCCACCAAATTCATTTAATATAGTAAGTAAAAATTTTGTTAACAGTGAAATAATTATATTCGAAATACGTTTTGTTTAAAATAACTAAGCTCCACTTTTTCTTAAAAACTTTATTTCTTTAATACAATCCGTTCGCTATCGGGAGATACTAATAAAACCTAAATTTGCAAATATATGAAAAGTAGGTAATTAATATGGAAAATACATCAGGAGCGATTTAATGAAAAAAAATCATAAAATTCCAAAACGTTACAGCTTTTAACATTGTATAATAGTTATGTTTATTTTACTTTATTAGTTCTCTCAGTATACAGGGTATTACCTGTTACTAGGTTTTATTATTATTTTACTATTTCTTGATAGAAAACAGAGTATAGAATATAATATTACAATAAATTTCATTTTTTAGCGTTCGTTACCATCTAATAATGATGATTGTCCAGAGTATCGACTAGTTAAAGTAAATAGGACTTTGACTGGAATGACAACTGCAGAGGATGTATCAAGGTTATTAAGTAATTTAGATAAAGCAAACGGTTTACTTATAATTGAGCCAAAAAAAAAATACTCAAGTAAAGATTCAAATGGAGACTATCTTTATAGTTACAATGTAATATTATTTCATGAGAATTATTATCAGTGAAATGGGCTGTATTATTAAATCCAATCTCTGTTTTTTTTTCTAATTTCACTTTAAAGTAATACCAATACGTTCTTTTGATCAGTTAACAGTTCTTTTAATTTTTTCAGTTTCAGTTTATAATAAAATATTTAATTAGTATTTTTGCTTTATTTAACCCTTATTGAAAGATTGTTTGTTGTGTTCTGTAAATACGAGCCCAGTCGCATATGAATTGGATCAAAACAAATATTCTACACAATATTATTTTCCCGTGTAAACAGTTATTTTATATTAATATCAAATAGTTAGATAGTATCCGATCAATTAGTAGTAGCAAAATTACTATTAACTCAACAAAAAAATTGTGTAGAATATTTGTTTTGGTGAATATTATATTTTTTACGAGAGTATTAGGTTTGTTGTATTATGTTGACTAAGTTCATATAAAAATTGATCCACAAACGCTTCATTACCGATCTACCGAAATTTCAAATTTTATTTTGATATTTTTTGAGCTCCTGCAGTTTTTAGATATTATCCAATTGTTCTTCACAAATCGCTTTTAAACGTCTTTTAAACTGCTTCAGAATTGCTCTTCTAAAACCGGTTCTAAATCGCTCTAAAATTGTTTTATAACCGCTCTAATTGCTTGCTCTTCTAAGCCCTCCAAAGATTTTGTAGAAGATCCTTTGTAACATGTGATCCTATAAACATCCCAATTTTGTAAGATTCTCCCTTGCTTGGATTAACAATCCTTTTACAATTCAATCATACTATTTCAATTTTTACACAATATGACATCCTTCATATCGTGCTTGTGATAGTGCTTGGAAGTTCTAAAATAGTAATATTTTAATTAATAATTACACCTTTACAACAGACATTTCTCGACCATTAAAAACAGAAAATTGCTTACATTTGCTAATATCAGCATTTCCTGTGCATTCGGAAACTGAACGAACTGTGGAATCAAATTTGCCAACGAATCCACAATGATTTTAAATACTCCATGGGCAGTGCTTCTTGCGAGTCCAAATCTATCCCCTGCAGCTAAGAAACATTCCGGTTTCCGATGGTCCATAGAGAAAATATTTTTTTTTATCAAAGTCAATATTGACCCTATTGTGAGCAATATTGTTTCCCAGCATGTTGCGTAGGTTCTGAAATTTTATTAAAAATCAACAGATTTAATATTTTGTGATTGAGAAACATACCTGAAAGGCTCCTCTACTCATTTGAAAATGTTCTTTGAAAAGATCATCTGAGAATCTTGGGACGGTCACTTTAAGGAAATCATCATTCCTAGGTTTCCTTACTCGTGGATGTCCTTCTAGATTATCATTTCCAATTGGTTCATCGAGACCCAATATCAATGCATTTAAAACATCCATATTATCGTCATCGTTATTACCATCATGCGCTAAGGCTATAATATTTGCAAGAATACTATTTTCACCTTCAGCCATTATTAATATCTCAATTATAGCAGGATAATGATTAAACAGTATAATAACAAAACATGTATTTCACCTTCAACCTTTAAAAGATGAGGAAATAGAGGAGGCGAATGAGGAAGAAGGTACTTTGGAGATTGTAAAATGGTAGAAAATGATTTAGGTTTGGGAATAGGAGCTTTGGAAATGGTTTTTTTTTGTCATTTTGTTGAAAATTGTCTATTAGTTTTTTGTAGGGTATTGTGGGTCTATTAGGAAACTTTCTGTTGAATAAATCTATTCCAAATCTATTCTAAAAAGTTTTAAATTATTCTAAACAGTTCTTAATGCTTCTGGAGCATTCTAAATTGTTCCAGACGGTTCTAATTCATTCGCTACAGTTCTAAATAATTCTAGACATTTCTAAATGATTCTGGGTTGTTGTAAATGATTCTAAAAAATTCTAAATTATTCTAAACAGTTCTTAATCTTTCTGGGGCATTCTAAATTGTTCTAGACGGTTCTAAATCATTCTTTACAGTTCTAAATGATTCTAAAGAGTTCTTAATAAAAATTGTTTTTAAAAAATTTAATTCTTCACTAAAGACTATAAAAGTTTCAATGTACTATTTTTATGATAATTATTTTAACTATTTGAAATCCATAACCATTTCTACCTCGAAAAAATACAATCTAAGAACTGATATGAACTGAACAAAAGTGTTCTTTCAAAGTTAACAAGAATTTGGTCCAGGACAATTTAGAGTGCTTCTGGATGCATTAAAACTAGTTCAGAACAATTTAGAGTACTTCAGGATCAGAACTATTATTGCATTAGAACTATTTAGAACTTCTATTTGATTCTATTTTCTATAAAATCTATTTGAACTCGAGTGGATGAATAAATATTATTTTGATAATATTCGTTAACTCCCTAGAAGACATTGGCGGCAATGAATAAATATTTTTTTAATAAGGTTTATGTGAAATTTCTATTTTTTAATAAGGATGTTAAGAAAATCTTTAATTGATCACCAAACGAAAATATTATAATAAATGTTCGATATACACTGTTAGAAATTTAATTTCGCATAATAGGGAAATCATTTAAAACTACATTTAATAGTTCTTTTTTGGGGATGTTTCATAAAAACATGTGAATCGGTAGGTACAGTTTTGAAAGAGCAACAAATTTTATTGAAATAAGGGAAAAAATAATTCAATTTTCTGCTAAAATTACACCTCAGTTCAGTAATATGGGATGACATCTGTATGACAGGTTTGGCTATAGTTTAGCAGAAAGCGGTGGACTATTTTTTAGAGTTCTTTTATTTTCTGTTTTAAAATAATCTTTAAGTTTATTTTTGGAGTTTCCTTTTTATTATTTTCTTAGAATTTACTTTCTTTTTCAAGCCATTGTGGCAAAAAGACATATCTACATAATTCTATTTTAATAATAGTGATATTTTTTCAATAAATTATCGTTTAAAAATTCTCATTTCTTTTTAATCGACTCGACGTTCACCCATCCGAACCCGTTTTGATACTGTCGAAGTGTCGAAACCGTCGAAATTATTTGATTTTTAATCTAACCAAGCCAAAGCGCGGTGTGAAGTCGAGTAGAACAATTAAATTTATTAGAATTTATCGCGACGTTCTATTGAAATGTACACTGGTAGATTGGATTTTAGCCGGCTAAGAATTTAACATTGATTTCCCTATTATGCGCGAATAATTTTCCAATATAGCGCGTTTTTCCACGGTGGATTGTACGCCTACAATTATAACGCCTCGACGACAGTCTTACGACTAACGGGGTTGCTCGGGCGCCAGATTTTTATATGTGGTTTACTCCACGATTTTTACCCTTACTAAGAAATCGACGAGGGCCAGGTAACTGCAGTGAAGAATCGGTTCGTCCAGGGGTCGTGATATTAGCGACCTATTAAATCGACTAAAAGGGAGGGCTTTAATTCTCCCCTTAATGCGTACAGAACTTACCGGCAGTTTATCGCAAGAATTGTTTTATTTCCAATTGGGATCGAGTGGAGGAAATAAAAGTTCTCGTTTTCGGGTTAAAAATAATACTTATTCAAAGAAATAATAATTACATAAAATAAAGATTTATAATCCTGACATGTAACGGGGACAGTAACGCGGTTTTTATTTCAACAAATAACGACTCTAACGCGGCGAACGAAACGGTTTTCAGGGAAAATAGTGTCAGATTACCAGTTCCCAAATTTAACAGTGTAGAATACTTATAAAAGGTTTCAAACGGGAAATACACGGGATAATGAAATTATGTAATAAAATAAATTAATCAAAAACTATAAGTACTTACATTCGGATTAACGGACGTTCGCAGGTTACGGGCCCACGTGGAACTTCTCTCGAACTCACAAAAAAAATCGGATTGTCGCGAAACGCGTATTAAATTTTACCTCGGCAAATACAAATCAAATTTACAACAGGTTTTGAACCGTTAAATGGACACTCGGAAATTTTCGGAAAAATGAAAATTAAAAGCAGCGAAAATGCGAGACTTACATACGGGTCCAAAAGAACGTGTGAGAACTTAAACGGAACGAGAATGTAGACCGAACCTCTTTCTTTCGAAAAGCCGGTTAATTTCTACTTTTTGAATTTGCAAAAACTTTACTTCCACTTCTAATTGAAGATGGATTCGGCGCGGAAAGTCAAACTATAATATACGGGGTGATAATTAAATATGGGAAATCTGGAAAATTAACAATACGAAAAATAAAATAATAACTTCGTTACATTACAAAAGTTCTTCTAAAGTAATTCTTATTTATCATTTTAAATAATGCAATTAATTAACTAAATGCATATAAAATAATATATTTTAAATAATGCAACTAAATTTTTAATGCAATCAGATTGCCATTAAATGATAAATGTGCATATTTAAACATTTGAATTAAAAAAAAATAAATAATAACGCCAAATCAGTTATAGAGGTATTCTGACATGTGGTTGAAATATGTACATGTAATTTACAAACACCCAGTATATTTATATGTATATGAACCATAGACCTATTAAGTATGGACGCGGCACTATCGTTATTTTGAGGTTATTTTTTCGGTATTAGGAGGTTCCAATTAACAATACAAAATAAGAACTGTATTTGCAAATGAGTGGGAATTTAGGCTCAGCTGAAAAATGAATTTTGCTCGGTAAAAAAATAATAAATCCTCAACCCTATTCTACCATAAGCTACCCTCCTCTACCCCAGCAACCTGGCATTTCTGAAAACGTAAATCACGTGGTCTTTTGCTTTCTTACTATTGGCTAATGCATTGTCCAATCTCTCATTGCCATATGCCCAAACTAGCTGCATCTCTCTCATTCATCGACAACACTACCTCTTTGTCTAAACCGCGTCCATAGTTAATAGGTCTATGATGTATATGAACGTATCCATA